CAAATGGTTAGCTGGGTGGGTGGGGTAATGGGAGGAGACCAAGTCCAAACCATTATCCACAATTTGATCGATAAGCTGGTGAAAGTCCTCTGGGAGCTTGAGTTGATTTGCAGTCTTATGTAACTGTTGTGGGGTGATTTCATTATGGTGCATCCTGATAAACTGGTTCTTGAGGAAGCGCTGATAAATAATTAGATGTACTGGGGTAAGGCCCGCGATCACCAGGAGGGCATTTGTTGGGGCCGTCCTGTAGGCTTTAGTTATGGCTATAGCGGCATGCCTCTGAGCTGACAAAAGTTTCCTCTGAATATGGACTTTTGAAGCCGAATACCCCCAGGCCTCACAACCGTAGGTTAGAATAGGCTCGATAGCCCCTCTGTAAATCATACGGCTGGTTTTACTGTCTAGGCCCCACGTGTTCCTCGCTATACACCTTAGGGAGTGGGAGACAGTGATCGCTTTATTATAAGTATGGTAGGTATTCTCTTTCCACGTGAGTTTACAGTCCAGTATGATCCCCAGGTATTTGATTTCATTTACGCATTTAATCCTGTTGTTATTTATCTTGATGACTGGTTTCTTTTGTAATGGATTCCCTTTGGGGAATACCATACAAAGGGTTTTATTATAGTTGATGATTTGTTTATTATTGACACTCCAATCATAAATAGCTTGTAGGACGATGTTCACTTGATCTTGTAAGACTTCTTGGTTTTGGTTAGAGAGGAGGACAACCGTGTCGTCGGCGTACCCCTGGCAATAAGGGTTCCCGTCGAAGGAGTTACTTTCAGTGAGAGAGAGTATGCTGTTATATAAAATATTCCAAAGTAGGGGCCCAGATTTGGACCCCTGCGGGCAACCCCTAGAGATAGGGGTAGAGTAGAAGGTGGTACCACTGTAGCTGATTTTAGCGCTCCTGTTTGACAGGTAACTTTGAAGGAGCCCGAAGATGTTCGGCGGGCAGTCGGTTTCGGAGAGAGCAGCCAGTATGGCCGGCCACCAGGCATGATCGAATGCGCCTTTGAAATCTACCGAGACCATAAGGGTGTGTTTTCCTTCTTGTTTAGCGGTGTTAATATAGTCCAGAATTTTGTTCATGGCCTGATGGGCGTTCTTATGCTTCCTGAACCCATATTGGGCTGGGTGGAAGAAGTTGTTCTTGTCGAGGTGGAACTGGATCCTCTTACTCAGTAGGGAGTCCAGCACTTTCCCGAGGATAGATAGTAGGGAGATGGGGCGGTAATCTGATGCAGTTGTTGGGGAGATGTCTTTATTCTTTTGGATTAACTTGACCTCAGCCTCCTTCCAGGGATGGGGAAAGTAGCGGTGTTGTAGACAGATGTTGTAGAGGACAGAGAAGGTAGTTGGGATAGCGGCGAAGGCATGTTTTGCCATCCTGAAGTCCACCCTGTCAGGGCCCGGGGCCTTCTTTTTGATTTGGTTAAATTCCTTTTGAATTTCCAGAAAGGAGAAGAGGGTGTCATTCTCGACCTTGGGAATATTGTTAGCCTTAAGCCTGGTAGTCCGATGGAGATCACTGTCAGAACTGGGGTCATCGGTGGGAAAAAGGTCGGTGAGTATAGCACAGCAAGTATCACCCAGATTAGTGGTCATCCCCGCTTGGGTTGAGATAGTCGTTGGGGGGTGGAGGGTCTTTTTCTTCTTGATGGCGGTGTAATAGGGAATGGTCCAAGGCCCAGAGGTATTGGAGTTAGAACAGAATTCTTTCCAGGATTCCCTTCTGGTTTTATTAAGGAGGGTTTTATATTCACGGAGGAGGGTGTTGTAATTGGCTTTCCATTCCTCCCTATTGGAGGGGTCAGAAGCATTATAGTACTTCCTCCAGGCCCTCCGAACTTGCTTGCGTTTGTTAGACAGATTAGGAGTCCACCAAGGGATGGAGGGTTTGTGAGTACTGATATCAGTAGCATTATAATAAGCATGGTGGATGGCGTGGAGGAGGTTGTTAACAGCCGAATCAATGTCCTCCTGGGTGTAGATGTTGTTAATGTTGGTAGGGTCCCAATAAGCCTTCAGGTAGTTTTCAAAGAGGTCCCAGTTGGTCTTATTAGTGATGTGGATGTTGTTATTACACTTTATTCCGCTGATAACGGTATTGATGTAGGCATGGTCACTAGCCGTTGCTGATGGTAAGGTACTACAGTAGCTTATCTGGTCAATAACTTTTTTATTTCCTAGGCATAGGTCAATCCAACTATTCCCATTAGAGTTTGAGAAAGTTGGGAGGGAGCTACTATTTAGGGAGAAAAGATCCAAATCAACCATCAGGTCATTAACCGCGCGCCCCCTAGGGTCCTCGATGGGGCTGAACCAGATGGGAGATTTAGCATTAAAATCCCCACACAGAATGATGGGATGATCCTTGAGTCCAGAAACAATCGTCCTGATATCATTTAACGGGCCCTCAATGTCTTCGGAAGGAGGACAGTAAGTGTTAATGACGTAGAGAGTGGTCGTATTGGTGGTGATGCTGATGGTGGTGGCGTACTCTGAACAATGTTGGGTGACTAGTTGACAGTTGAGGTGCTTGTTCGTAATAAGGAAGCCAGTTAGCACTTGGGTGGATCCACTATTCCAAGTTAAAATATGGCCTCGGCCCAGTAGGGCCGGGACTCCAGCGTGAAGGTAAGGTTCTTGGAATGCTAGTATGTCGATACTATTGTCTATGATAGTCTTCATTGTGGCGGAAGAGGCGGCTTTACAACGTTGTAAGTTGATTTGGAGCAGATTGATGTTGTCTTTCAGATTGTTGTTGATATTTTGCGACGGGAAGGCGGAATAATGCCTGAATGGTGATAGCTGGTGGAGCTTATTCATAATTAATGTTATTAACGAGGGCCGCCTTATATTTTTTAAGCATAGGGCAGCTCCTATCGAAAGTGTTATGGTCAGTATATAATTTTCTCTGGTCAGTAACAGTTTTATTGAAGTTGTGACAGTTTATGCAGCGTGGTTCCTTATTTAAGTTTGGGCAGTCTTTGTACCTATGCCTTTTAGAGCAATGGCTACACCGTTGGCGCTCTTTGCAGTTGGGCGAGGTATGTCCATAACCGGAACAGTTGAAGCACCGAATGACCGGAATAAAATCATCAACCCTCAGAGAGCACCATCCTATAAATATTTTACCTTGTTTTATTATTGCATTCCGAATGCTTGGTGTCACATTTAGAACTATGTGTCTTACACTAGTTTTCTCCCTGGGATGGAAGCTGTGGTTTATGGTTACTTCTTTGTTGTAGTCATTTGTGGTGGTACACTCCTGTATCGGCGGGTTTTGCAGATATAGGTTGTCTAAAATTTCTGTTTCTTCAACGCTTTCTGGGACGTTGAATACAATAATTTTCGGTGATTTCTTATTTTTCTTTGAGATTTTCAATTTTTTAGAAAGATCTTCGTTTGTTCGTATTGCCTTGTCGAGAACTTTTAGGTCCTCTTCTGATTGGACTTGTATATTTATGTCTCCACTCGGCATAGGCCAGACACGGTTGACTTTGATGCCAAGCTGCCAAGGGTGAATGTTTGACTGGACAATGTCCATAGTTTCTTCGGGAGTGGGTATTGGCTCTCCTGGGTTGGAAATAGCTGAGACAATTATGTTATGCTCAGATTTGGTTGGGTTTATTTTCCCTTCCAGCTTAGCTGCGTTGGCAGCAATTAATTTGGTGGTTGAACTGGCTGTAAAGGTATTTTTCTTTACGGCTGCCGAGTAGGTGGCGTCTTCTTGGGTAGCTCCTACTTGCGGGGGCTTTTTGAGTTGTTCTCTTAAGGCGAGAACCATCCCGAAAATTTGGTTCGCTGCCGCATGCATCTCTAAGGCAGCTTCCCTTACTTTGTGGCGGTCCGCAACCCTGACGGATACATTACTATCCGTTGGGAGGGAGCTGAGGATAATCCCCAGACTGGAAGTAACAGTAGAGATAAGGTCCTCCTCAGCAAAACTATTGTTAAGATCCGCCATGACGAGAGAAAATGTCCGAAGAAGCCAAACAGTAGAGAGTCACTTAGCTTAACTAAAGAGAAGGGTCCTGAAGCTGTTCTTTACTGACCGGGAAGTGGTTGCACGACGCAACTTGTAGGTAGCAGTTGGTGCACACTGAACTCACTGCCTGACAGAATTTGCCCGACGCAACATGCACAAGACACCCTCACACACCAGTAGTGCCTGTGCAGACTGGCTATATGGGGTGGGGAGATGCAAATGGTGGCCAAGCTAGCTTGGCCTTTGATGGCACCGGCTGGCTAGGGACCTGCCTCAATTGGGGAAGGCCCGACCGAAACAAAAAATAGATAAATCACTCACCAAGATGGCCGTTTCCTGTGTCCTCTCAGTTGCTGCAGTAATGGGCAAGTTGGCAGCTTCAGCGATGAACTCAAGATGGCTGCTAGGTTGGTCTTCTTGTAGTTCAAGACGGGAAAGCCAAGATGGTGCCCCTCTAAAAGCAAACTTTTCGAAAATAAAGTAAGCCAAAAAGTTAGGCTTAGCAATCCAAGACCTAAGTCCCTGTCTAGCCCTAACACAAGCCTACTTTCCTATGCCTTAGCACTGAGAAACTTAAGCTAAGCCTAATATTAGGCTAAACACCCTAGTATAGCTAGAATACACTGTCTGGAGCTAAGAAGCACAGGTCTTACCTTGATGACATCCAAACTCAGACTCCCCTTGCTATAGACACTTTTACTAAAGAGGTGAGAGGGCTGTCTGTATTGCTTACAAACATATGCCCTATAGGGAAAAGAAGGAAGAAGAAAGCCTGTGACGCGAAGTGTGAAGTGAAAAGGTAGATAGGAGAGTTGGAAAAAGAGGCATGGGACCAGAGGGCGTCTTGCACCGGCATTTATTGAATGATAATCAAAGTACAAATACAAAAATAAAATACAAAAATACAAAATAAAATACAAGATAGGAACACATAATTGAGTTAATACAATGCAGTACGCGAGATATAAGATCAAAATGCAAATGGGAGTACATATAAAAGGTATAAATTTTTACAGTGTGGTTAAAATAAAAGAAAAATACAATTTAGAATACATGATGGAAAAAAAATATATACAATGCCGATACAATGTGGTCGCTTTAGCATATTCAAAAAGGTTACAATATTGAAAAGGTATTACACAATGGAAAAATATTTTACATATGTACAGTGCACAATATTAATGTGCTTGAAGAAATATTAATTACAGAGTTGGGGGTTAGTCGGAGTCATCTTCGGTGTCGTCTTCGTCAGTGGTGTTGAAGTCGTAGTAGTCGTTGGGCCGTTGGAGTTCATCGGGGGCCTCTTCTTCTGAGTTGTCTGGCTCAGTGTGTTCTTTAAGGGCTCCAGTTTTAATTATAAAGTCTTTAAATGTATTCCAGAGTCCCTTGTTTTGGAAGATGGTCGCAGGGTTTGGTGGCCAGCTGTAGTTATCCCGTAGGTATCTGTGTTGTAGTTCAGCACGATCGTTGTCATAAGTTGGGCAGGTAAATGCAAAGTGCATAGCGTCACCGATAGAGTTTTCTGTGCAAGTGCACTTGTTGCAGTCTTTGATGCCGAACCTATAAAGATATGCTGGGAAATTGCCGTGGCCGAGGAGAACTTGTGAGATGTACTTATTTGGCACGAAGTGTCTGGCAGCGTTCCGTATCTCGATTGAGGGGATGAAAGAAAAACAGTTCCTGCCTGTGTCGGCAGTCCTCCATTCCCTCTGCCAGGCAGAGTTGATAATGCTGGTAAGTTCATTTTTAAGTCTTTTTTGAGGAAGGTCTGTATATGATGGTTGAGTAGCGGAGTTAGCACCAAGTTTGGCCAACTTATCCGCCTTCTCATTGCCATCGATGCCAGTGTGAGCAGGGACCCAACCGAAGTTAAGTTTGCTTTTTTCACTTAGTGTTCTGGCTGCTTTCTGTACCTTGTTGGTCAGTACTGTTGGGTGGTTGTTGTTGTACAGGCTATGTAGCGCCATTTTGCTGTCGGTGAGAATGGTTATGCTCCCTTTATAGATGTCCAGATTGCTATTGATGTATTGGAGTGCCTTGAGAATTGCCCACATCTCTGCTTGGGAGATTGAGCAATGAGGAGCAAGTTTCTGATAGCACTGATATATGGTTCTATTGTTGGAGTTCATCACCGTGAAACCAGCTCCAGTGCCGTTGCTGTTTTTAGATCCATCGGTGTAGATCTTCCATCTGGATTTGAGGTTGTTGTCGTCCTTGATGTCCCAATAAATATTGAAGTTTGGTTCGTCTGCTGGATGTTGTGAGTACTCGTTCTTCTTTAGTTCCTTGCTATAGACAGCCTATATGAAAGGGGATGAAGACCCGGGACTACTCATTGGTATTGCCCGAGTGTGAAAGGGGGACAGAAAAGAGGAAGATTAGATGTCGAAGGAGAAGGGGAAAGAAAAGTGAGATAGGAGAGAGGGTGAAAGGGAGAAAGTCCCATGGGCGCCTTGCATCGGTCTTTATTAACGAATAAAACAATATAAATACAGAAAAATGAACAAAACAGAAAATACATAGTGCACCCGACAATAAATAACTGACAACATTCATGAGTAATCAAAATACAAAAGCATACAGAAAGGCTTGACAAACAGAAAAACGCGTACATGTACAAGAAAACGCGACAATGCCACTTGCATTGTGTAGATGAGGAACTTCCGAAAAGCCCCTAGAAGACCGCTAATTGCTGGTACTATTCCTGAGGTCAAGGACCCCGATCTCCTTAATAAACGAGTAGAGTTCCTCAAAGATCGTCCGGTTGACAATGAGGTCCTCCGGTTTACAAGGCCAATTGCCGCCTTCTTGAAGCACTGTCTGTATGAGCTTAAGCCTTCGTTGTTCAAAGTCACTGCAATCGTTGATCAAATGGAAGTTATCCTGAATGGACGTATGATCGCAATGGCAGTAGGGATGGTCACAATGATTAAAACGGTGCAAGTAACTTCTAAAGTTGCCATGACCAGAGAAGAGTTGACTAGTGATGTAGTCAACCATCAAATGCTTGCACTTCAGTCTTTGAATAATGTCAGGAATAAATTTAAAGGTGTTACGACCAGTCGACTCCTCCTCCCAGCCCCGTTGCCAAGTCATGGCAGCTGTTTGGGCAAAAAGTCTTTTAGTAGCCACAAGCGGAATACCATAAAAACTTGGCGCTGCTGTGCTGGAGGCAGCTTCTTTAGCCATTTGGTCTGCAGCCTCGTTCCCTAACGTGCCAGCGTGTGCCCTCACCCATTTGAATATAATTGTGCCCCTATTCATATTGAGCTCATTAATAATTTGAAGCTGTAATAGGCCTTTGTGCTTGATGTTACACAGCCCAGTGAGGGCAGCCCTGCTGTCTGTGAAAATACCAACCCGGGCCTTGGAAAGCTGCTCAGCTGAATTAATAAATTCCACTGCCTTTAAAATTGCGAAGAGTTCTGCCTGTGTGATGGTGCAGAAGTCGGCGAGGCGAAATTTATCTTTGTGCATCGGGGCAATTTCCGCACCTCTGAAGCAGACAAAAGCCGCCCCCACCCCATGATCCGATCGAGAGCCATCTGTAAAGATTGAATACTCGTGGAATTGGCTGCCTCCTGAGTCATTGTAGTCAATAGAAATTCTTTTCCCAGGGTGGGACAACGGTGGCCGATTTTGAGACACATCTGTGTCTAGGTCAAGGTGAAGAATGTTATCAATGTCTAGGTTTGGCAAGAAGCCAATATTGAGAAAAGTATACAGATCCACTTTACTTTGATCCGGGACTCTTAGGTTGAGCAGCCTCCATTGAGCCCCCGAAGACCTGATTGTAATGTGAAGAGGCTGGATACCAGCTAAAGCCTGTAAGGCTGATGTAGGTGTTGTCTTGTAAGCGCCAGTTATGTGAAGTAGATTAATCCTCTGAAGCTTGAGAAGAGTCCTTTTGATGTGGACTTTATCAGCAGCTTTACCCCAGATTGGGGATCCATAAAGCACAATTGGCTCGATGGCATACTTATATATAGTAGTGAGATTGGAGCTGTTCAAGCCCCAGGTTTTTCTGCCCAAAAAACCCATTAAGTTAGATAACTTTGTCGCTTTGTTGTAAATGTAGTCCACATGTGGATTCCATTTTAGTCCCTGGTCGATTACCAGCCCCAGGTATTTAAGCTGCGTAGTGTATGGAATCCTAACGCCTGCAATATGTACTGAAGGTGGCTTTTTAAGTTGGGTACCATTTGTCATAAGCATGCATACAGACTTATTGATGTTAATCTGAAGTTTATTTTGTTGACTCCACTTGTTGATGATCTGTAGGATCTTATTGGCTTCCCCTTGCATCCTTTCACTGTTATTACCTGCTAGCATTAAGAGGGTGTCATCAGCGTAGGTTTGAATTTTCCAATGTACCGTAATATCATTAACCTTAAGCTTAAGAATGCCGTCATGAGCGATGTTCCAGAGGCCGGGCCCCGAACAAGAGCCCTGAGGGCAGCCTCTGGTCATAGGCTGCAAAAGGGGTTGCTGAAGATCAAAGATACCCACCTTCCTTTCGTGTAGATAACTGCTTAAAAGGAGATATAAATTATTCGGGCAGTTAAACCTTTGTAATTGGGAGAGCAGGGCAGGCCACCACAAGGAATTGAAAGCGTTTTTATAATCCAAGGAAACAAGGAGAACATGCTTTGAATCGTTCCAGGCCTTTGTGATAAAATGGTGAACCTTGTAGAGAGCGTGATTCGTAGACTTATTAGGAACAAAGCCATATTGTTCCTGGCTCAGTAAATTGCTGTTATAAAGGTAATAGTTGATACGGTCTATCAATAAACGATCCAAGACCTTGCCCAGCGTGGGCAACAGGCTAATAGGCCGAAAGTCAGTGGCTGTGATGTGATTAGATTTTCCTGTTTTTGGGATAAACGTAATAGACGCAGTCTTCCAGCATTTTGGAAAGATTGAACACTCCAGGCACCTATTAAAGGTGTACACCATTGCCGTGGGGACCGCGGCGAAAGCGCATTTGACCATTTTGGCTGTAATGTGGTCGATCCCAGGTGCCTTTTTGTTCCTCTGGGAGAGAACCGCTTGTTCCACTTCTCTGTAGGAGAAAAGGTGATCATTATTTGTGTCAAGCGAGACAGGTAAGTTGTTCCTAATCTCCGATTGCTCCTTGCTGTCTGAGTCCCTGTTATCATAAGGAAAATGGGTATCTATTAGGTATTTAAAAGTATCCATCAGACTCACAGTGCGTGTACCATCCTCTTTAACCATAGTCGCAGGAATGCTGGTTGATTTCCTGGATTTAATAATGATACGATAGGGATCGCTCCATGGTGCCCTATTACCAACGTTTGAACAGTACTCCTTCCAAGCCTGGGTTCTGGCCTTATTAATTTCCGACTTATACTCGTTAAAATGACAAATGTACTCCCTCTTTTTTGTTTCTTTTTGAATAGGGTCGTTCTCTCTGCGAAACAGTCTATATAGCCTACGTACCCTGCAGCGCCGTGTAGCAAGGCTTGTGTTCCACCATGGAGCATCGTTCTCCTTTGTCCGACGTGCGGTTGTGGATTGCTGATATGCAAGGAAAATTGACGAAGTCAGATGCTCAGCAAGCTGATTAGGGTCAGTAATGTCACAAAGAGAGTTAGGAAAAGGATTGGACCATTTTTGTTGGAAGATCTCCCCAAAGAGAGCCCAGTCGGAGATGTACTTTAATTTATATGATTCTTTGATGAAGAAACCAATATTTTTAACCAGGGTTTTAATATATCGGTGGTCACTTCCACCATTCTCCTCAATAGTGTTACAAGACTGTAAAAGTTGATGGGCGCCTGGGTTGACAAGCACCAGGTCAACCCAGCTTTCGCCCCTGGAACAGCTATACGTAGCCAGGGGGCTGGTGTTGCAGGATGAGATGTTATTTGCTGACATAAATTCACTGACCTTATGACCCCTGTCATCTTCGCTTGGAGCGTGCCAAATTGGCGACTTAGCATTAAAGTCGCCGCAAACTATCCAAGACTTATTATTGAGTTGATTAGAAAGGTTTTGAAGGTAATTTATTAAATCCTCAATTGGCCTGAATGGTGAGCAGTATACTGAAGATAAATAGACTTCCTTGTTGTTGAGGGATAGAAGCACCGTGGTGACCAACTCAGAGCTGAGATTAGTGCAGAAGTTAGCCCTTATGTTGATGTTTTTAGTTAAGATGCCAGTCTTTATCTTTTTGCTGAAGTTGCTGGGCGGAAACACTTTCCATCTCCCAAAGCGAACAATGGTGTTGTCGACGAGATAGGGTTCCTGAATACATAAGACGTCTGCTTTGTGCTCACTGGCTATCTTAATGGCCATAGAAGAAGCGGCTTTTGACTTTTGTAAATTGATCCCCAGCAAAACTAAGTCACCGCCGTTCCCAGTCACCTGGGAGGAAGGACGTCCATATAACGAACTATGTAAAGAGTGAAGATGCTGTGTATGCTGCTGTAGACTATTAGATGCCATAATTTGTTATAATAACTTGCTGTTCTTTGATTCTTTGTAAAAGTGGGCACTGGCCACTGAAAGCGTTGTGGTTCGTAGGCACTTTTTTGCTGGCTGGCTGACCACGATTATGCCTACTACAGTTTATGCAATAAGGTGTATTTTCTTTGTGAGGGCACTCTTCGAATTTATGTTTTTCTGTACACTGACTACAGTGTTCCGTTCCCGTACAGTTTTTGGCAAGGTGTTGAAAACCACAGCAACGAAAACACCTGAGGATAGGAATGAAATCGTCTACCATGATATTTGCCCAAGAAAGGGAAAGGTACTTTTGTTTTATGATTATCGCACGTAGCTGGGGTGAAACAGATAGAACTACATGCTTGCAGTTCTCCCTGATCCTTCCCCTTGTTAGAACCGTGCTAATGGCACAATTATCCAGGAACTCCCTCTCGTTCATTTTGCCAAAAACATCGTTTTGTCTGAAAAGTGTGCCTATAATGTTACTATCGTCAATTGATTTAGGGACATGCAGGAGTATTATTCTCGGTTTTCTACCATTTGTTGTAATGCATTTAACTTTGTTTTTGATTTCTGGGATACTCTGAATGGCTTGTTGTAATTTGGCGCTTTCTTTGGGGTTATGAACCCTGATACAGATTCCTTCATTTCGTACCTTTTTTATTCCTTTAACTCTGATTCCGATGTCCTGCGGTTTAATTTCATTATTAATAAGGTTAGTAATGTGTTCAATATCGTCAGATTCCTCTGGGTTTTCTGAGTTTGGGTAAATGAGGACTGCGCAGTTTCCCCCTGTTCCTTCATTGGCGAGTTTAGCCGTAAGTGTGTCATTTATCGCTTTGGTTGTCTTACTAGCCACTGAGGTGGTCCTAACCATTTCAGCATACGATTTTTGTTTTGGTGATGCAGGGACTGTTTCCTCACTGCGTGCCATGCAAAGTTGTTCAACTTTATTAATCAAATTAGGTATATCTGAGTCATTATTATTGCTACTTGAACGAAGCTCCGTTAGGATCCCGTAGAACTGATGTGTGACTGCAAAAAGTTGAACTACCCGCTCTTTGATTTCCTTACGTTCTTTTGTCTTAAGATTAGTGTCATATTTATCTGGTAAAAGATCCATTATTCTACGTAATTGTGTGCTGGCAATCTGTAGTAAATCTTTTTCTTTGTTATTTTTATCGTAACTACCAGATTCTTTCTCATTATTAGCCACACTTGCGCTTCGTAAGGTA